AGGGAACGAGGGAGGGAGAGATGGATCCACCGGAAAAACAGAAACATATTGAATTTTCTCTTTTCAGATCTTCTGCGTGAACGTAAAATATATTACATCAACACAATTATTGCCAAATGTAAGTAAAGTGAAAGACAAAACCATGCTGATGTAACGTATTTCATTCATGTGGAAGTGAAGCATGCACTGAAATCAAGTAAATTCCATGCATTACATTTCTCAGCGTACATACAGTACTGTGCAAAAGTCAGAGAGCACCCTTCATTCATTCGAAAGGAAGTGTAGCTGTCAAAAATAGCAACGAGACAAAAAAGAAAACTTGTAAATCAAGCAAATTAACTGCTGGTGTTCTCAAAACAATGGACTGACCACCCCAGAGTCCAGACCTCAACATCACTGAATGTGTCTGGGATTGTTTGGATTGCGAGAAGCAGAAAATACAACCAAATTCTAAGACTGAACTCTGGAGGGGTGGAAAAATATCCCTACGGATTGTTTTGAAAAACCAAAAGCAAACCTCCTAAAAAGAATAAAAGTGGTAATAAAGGCAAAGAGTGGACACTCTAAATACTGAAAAATATTATATTTAGTTGTAGAGGCTTGTGTGTCATTTTCTATTAAATATATGTTGCCTGTTTCTTTTTGTTCCAAAATTGAACTTGTACTTAAAGGGAAACTCCAGCAATTTTTTACATTTTTGCAGAATTCAGTCATTGAGATGTAAATATTGTCATTCAGAGTGGTTTGATGTGAAGTGGTTCCTTGTGGAGAAACTTACTGATTCAGATGTCTTTATAGTGGTGGTGATATGAACCAGGGGTTGCAATGTGTACAACTCAAATACAGCCATTTTATTTACTATCCAAAACCACCAGTGAACCTACATGCGTGTTCTGAAGTTTTATATGTAATGTTGATGATGGTAAAATAGGGATAAATCTGAAAAAACATGCTTCCTTTAGGGACTATTTTGCCTTACAACCCTACATGTCTATATATGTTTTAGGGTGAAAAACACCCAAAACTGCAAAAAACAGGCATCAAGCAGCGCATTCAGAACTATTTTATGTGGTGACTTTCTCTGAGGGAGCTTTTAGAGGCTTTAAACTCTTCAGACGTCTGGTTCCTATCACCACAGCTGTGAATAATATTGACTAAGTTTCTCAAGAATGGAGCATTTCACATCAAACCACTCTGAATAGCTTCGTTTAAATAAAGGATGGTCGCTGATTTTTGCACAATGCTGTATATATTGATAACACTGAAAGACAGATGAACAGGATCAGTCCGTTTTCATCATCAGGTATGCCAGCATTCATGCCAGCAATTCTCAATATAGAGCAAGTTCGACCAAGTTTAATAAAACTACACAGCACTGACACCACTCCAGTGTAGAACAGCCCCCACCAACTTGACAGCAGCCAATTTTAATGCATTCTTTAACATGAGGTCCAGCTCTGCTTTAAGCACCCCTTCAGTCAGTCTCCAAAACACAATGGAGCACGTTTTAAATGTTTTATCTGATGTGGTTTAAGTTTTGTCATTTTTTAAGCAGAAAAATGAGAAAACGTTCCAGTAAAAAAGGGGCTGAGTAATGCTACAGGAAATCCAGTGGCCGAGTGCCAGAGGTACATGCTCTAAAATTCCTTAACACACAAACACAGCCAGACACAACCACACACAAACAATTCTGAACTACGCTGTCTTTTTACAGGCTCAGTTGGAGGGGTCAGGGGAAAACACAGAGTTGTTACAGGCCCCAAACCCCAAGAATAGACCAAAAATGGTTTATACAGGTCAGTATCCCTTATGAGCTCAACTCTATGATGAGATCTTATTGAAGGAGTATATTAATGTGTAGAAATGAGTTGTAAGTGTGGAATTTAACCTAATATGAACTTTTGATATGAAATATAGAAATTGTCCTTTATGGCACAAATGGAAATCCAGAATAAATAAGTTATAGAAAGCCCACAATAAAATAGTTTTTGTATGAAAGTCAGTTAAAGTTGTTAATTTTAACTTTCAACTTAAGAGATATTAACATCTGTCTGAATGCAGGCCGATCTTTGTCCTGGTGTTCTAGTGGTATGGGACATGAGGTGTGGTAACGTTACAGAAAACAGATAATAGATCCTTCTGCGCACCCACCTGTTCAAGCTCATGTATTCAAAACTAGTAACATTCATCAATAGTTCAAAAACTATTAAAAGATACTGAGAAAATACAATACTTAAAGCTTCCATCTTAAGGAAAAACAACTTCTAAGACTGAACTGGAAAATATCCCTGCAGATTTCTGAAAACCTGAAAGCAAAAGAATGGAAGTTGTAATAAAGGCAAAGGGTGGACACATTAAACACTGAAATATATGTTGTTGTATTTAGCTGTTGAGTGTTCTGTGTAATTTTCTGTTCAATATGTTTTCTGCTTTTAACCTGACACTAAAAAACGAATGTCTTGAACTTAATGGCAGTTTTGACTGCAAATTAAACAAATGAAGGGTGGTCTCTGACTTTTGCACAGTACCGTACCTACCTTTACACAGTTTTCACTAAATAATTAAGGTAGTCAAGCATGTAAAAATGACAGATTTATCTTTATGAATTTGCCTTGAATGTCATGCATGTATGTAATATCTGGAATAAGAACTCTGTGGTGGGAGCAAAAGTCTCCTTTCAAGCAATCAAATAAACAAGTAAATAAATAAAGACAATAAAGACTGGAATAAAACCACAACTAGAAGACTTCAGACGTCCTCAAGATCATGGTATGCTGAACTCATGCTGAATGATCCAGAGAATTTTTTTTTTCTCTATAAATCTAAATACTTTCTACAAACAGATCTCATTCCTGCCTTCTGATACAAGTGTGAGTGCTTATCTTTCTCTTATCTCTAGTCCATTCCATAACTCTCCAGGAGGAGAAACAAACAGCAGCGTGTGGCCAGGGAGCTTTTCTTATCCTCAACTTCCCCCTTGTGGCAGCTGTAAAGAAAGCAGAAAGCAGAAACAGAAGAGGAGGAACCGCAAGGCTGGTAGGGCGAGTCCCGTTTGGAGGCATACAGGGATATTAATCTATTAATATAGTTTTCTGTTTATCTACATCATTTTCCCATTCAGTTGTTCAATATTTGCTTTTATTTAATGAAGAATGTTCTTCAACTAATTTTAAAATACTATAATGTACACAACATTACTACATTATTAGTACTATACGTATCTGTATATATTATATATAGCATGTAGTTTTTCTATATTACGATTTTATGATTTCTACTACTACATCCATCTCAATGTATTATACGTAGAATATTCACAGCATCATAATTCATTACTGTATGCTATGTAGTATATTTTACTAGATGTATCACTATATTATACTAATATGCTCTATATATTACTGTATTATGTGTGTATATATATATATATATATATATATATATATATATATATATACACACACACACACACTACATCACCACTACATGTATTACTATATAAAAATATAACAATGTATATTTACTATATTACTGTATGCTTTATATTACAATATTATTACTACTAGATATCACTATCACATATACACCAATCAGACATAACATTATGACCACCTCCTTGTTTCTACTCTCACTGACCATTTTATCACCTCCACTTACTATATAGGTGCCCTGTGTTCACTCACTGTCCACTCTATTAGACACTCCTACCTTGTCAGTCCACCTTGTTGATGTAAAGTCAGGGACGATAGCTCATCTGCTGCTGCACAGTTTGTGTTGGTCATCCTCTAGTCCTTCATCAGTGGTCACAGGACACTGCCCACAGGACGCTGTTGGTTGGATATTTTTGGTTGGTGGACTATTCTCAGTCCAGCAGTGACACTGAGGTGTTTAAAAACTTCAGCAGCTCTGCTGTGTCTGATCCACTCAGACCAGCGCAACACACACTAACACACCACCACCACGTCAGTGTTACTGCAGTGAGAATGATCCACCACCCAAATAGTACCTGCTCTGTGAGGGTCCATGGGGGTCCTGACCACTGAAGAACAGGGTAAAAGAGGGCTAACAAAGTATGCAGAGAAACAGATGGACTACAGTCTGTAATTGTAGAACTACAAAGTGCACCTATGTAGTATAGTAGTATATTTACTATTATTACTGTGCTACTGTATGTAGTAATATATACTATATATAGCATGTAGTATATTTACCATATTAAATGACTGTATGCTATATATTATTATTTACAGTACAGGACCCATACTTGGACTAAGAAGTATTGGTATTTTTCTATACTACACTGCTTTTAACAGCAGGATTATTACTGCAGTTTGTGGTATCCGATTTGATTTTAATTTCATTTTGCACAACTTCTCTTAAAGAGTTTTGCTTTTGGTTTACTGTAACAACTGTGTCTATAGGTACACTTAGAGACCAAGCTGCTGCCACAACATTACAGTTCCACTTCCCACCTCACCACCAGATGCTTAGAAAAAAATGAAAGTTTTCAAGGAAATAGAGAAATACTTCTCATGAAATATGCCAAAACAAACTGCCTAGCGATTAAATGTATTACAAGACAAATACATACAGTGTAAAAGTCTTTTTCTTTAGCAAGTCATGGCATTATACATAATGTTTTGACACTTTAGCTTGATCAAAATCCTGAACCTGTTAGATTAAATTAGCCCCATCTTCAGATTAAAGACTAGTTAAATGCTCCTTCACTTAACCTGTATTTTCTCAATGAAGTCTGGGATGAGTTCTAGCTGCAGACATGGATTTCATCAGTGCCTGCGGTGCTCGTCGTGGTTTCTGTACTAGGTGTTCTCATGTGATGCTGGAATAACCAGTTTGTTAAAAACAAAACCAAAAGGAGTCGTTTCTAAGACATATGATTTTATTTCCACAGCATTTGTTTGGCTTTCAGTCTGAACATAAAAATCTCCAACAGGTATCAGATCCAACCAAAACAATGCAGTAGTTCTTTTTACAAAAGGTAATATGAGGAATAATGAACATAAAAAATATATGACAAAAAAGATGGTAAGAAGGGGAAAAAAAACAGGAATTGGTAGGCCTTCCACATGAAGGCTAAGAGGTTTCTATCGTTCTGCCAGTCCAAAAGCAAATGACAGACGAACACAAAGTAATAACTGCGGCATGAAGCGACCTGATTAAAACAAGTAGTGGGGGGGGGGTGTCCATGGGAAGGACATTACATTCTAGAGGTCCAGCCAGTTAGCCGGGCACAGGGACTGGGCACCGTTTAAGTAACTACATGCTAGCAATCTTTCAGTCCGACCACAAACCCTTCAAAATCAACCACAACCCCTGGTAAGAGCCTCACGCCAAATAATGTTTCCGAACCCAGCGGAGAGTCCACATACAATCAAATGTCGTCATTTTGGACTGATCATAGAGATAGCAGCTTTCAAGTAAGCCAAGCACACCTTCAGACAAAAGCAAACACATTGAAACAACATGAAGGACCAAAGGGATCAATCATCTTTGTCTCAATAATTGTTAGGCAAGTCTGCTTTAGTCTGTTCCAATGTTTCTCGACATCATTCAAACCTTAGGGGCCCTTTCTGTGGTTATGTTTGACCTGAAGGAAATGTGTTAAACTGCCCATAATCTCTCTTGATAATAGTCAAAATAATAAAAATAATAACAATAATAAATATTAATAATAGTAATAGATAGTCTAACCCAACCGATTGCCACTAAATCCTACCACCACCTTTTTATATTTCCTCTCTTTTTCCATGTGCTGGTGCTTTGTTTGTTGTTTGTTTTCTATGTTTTTTTTTGGTTTGACCCTCACTGCTCCCTGTCCAACAGGTGGTCCAAAGTCACCAAAATGAGCCAGCATTTTCTATCCACTAGTTTCTTCGTCAATAGCCTCGGGGTATAAAAACAGCATCTTTGATAGTAGGCTTCAGTTTCAGTTTCTATGTTTAGTTCTATGAAGTGTATGAAAAAAAGAAGAGTCACAACTAAAATGTTGCTAATCAGCCTCCGAGGGTCAGAAAATTCTGTCCTAGTCAAAAACTACACTACAGCGTTACGGACGTGGCTCTGAAACTGCAGGAACAACAAAGACACGACCTGCAGCAGTTCCATTTCTTTTTTCCTTGTTAACATATAACAAGGAAAAGTTATTTTAGTTTTAGTTATTTAAGTTTAGGCCATTCTGAGTACACAAAAAGATCAAAAAAATCCACACACATTTCCATAAAATTGAGAAATGTTCTATAGGAGAGAAAACACAAGCCTGTGCGAACCAGGATCCACATTTTAGAGAGAGGAAAAAAAAACATCCATGTTGGCTTTTGACGAAGCAACCAGAAGTGTCAGCTGCCATTACAAACTGTAAGCTAACGGAGGCCACCTTTGTTGCCCTTCTTACTCTCGTGCCTCACCCACACAAATGTTTAAATGTATTGCTAACAAAAGAAGGGGAGGAGGAGACGAAGGCCAAATCCAAGGCCTAAAACTCTACCCCCAGCTCCATTATAGCAGGGTACGAGAATACTGCACTGAAGAAAGCAATAGGACTCAATGCTGCCACCTGGTGGATGGCTGAGTCAAAATCAAAGCTGCTTTAAAGTCACCTCCTGTTCTATGACTGCGAGTATGGGAAGGGGTTTGGGATTGAGCCAGTGTGTCCTTGAGGTCCACCTGACATTGTGCGTTCATGCGGCCTGCCAAGGTTAAGCAGACGTAACCTTGAAATAACGCTGAAGTAACGTTTAAGTAACGTTTAGCACTGTGCTGACGGAACCCTCCGTCCCCCTCCCCTACGTTATGCAAAAGAAAAAAAAAAAGTGGGTTCTGAGCCAGAAAAAGCAACGTTTTTTTAATGATCTCGTCAAAACCACAAAAACGAGGTCAATGTCCCTGAATACGTTGATCAAACGTTTTGCGAGCTCGATGACAAATGGAAAAAAGCAGGAGAGAAATGAAAACGCTGAGGGAAACACCAACAGCAAAAACATAGCACATTCCAAGAGTCCTTTGTAAGAGCTGCGGAAAAAACGAAAACAAGTGGACAAGCCGGGTAGACGTGACTCGTCTGCCTAAGCCTTATCTTTGTATTTTTATCTTTTGTATGTTTTTTTTCTTTTTTTTGAAAAAAAGGCTAAGTGCAAATGTGACCTTTGGAAGTGGGCAGGAGGAGATAGGGCTAGAACAGTAATCCCACCTCTCCATTCAGACCCAACACACGCACACCACACGCTTGCTCACACATCTCTCCCAAGCTCACTCGCCTCAACTTTTCAAACAGTCCATACAATAAAAATAACGTTGAAGGGAAGTTCCACTAATGTTGAAAAATTCCTACATAATTTAATGACTGAGTTTGTAATTATGAGTGGTTTGATGTTAAACGCTTCATTCTTGATAAACTTGCCAAGTCAGAATTGTCCATAGGGGTGGTGACCAGAAGTCTGAAGAGTTTAATGCCTCTAAAAGCTACATCACACACACTTTTTAATAGATGTCAATACTCTGCCTGAAGCCTGGGACGGCTTATTCTAGTTTTGTGATTAGGTTCTGGCCCAAAACTGTGTTTGAACCCAGGCCTGGTGGAGAGCTACACTCAAGACGTAGGACAAAAACAGTCCCCCAGTCCTGGCCTGGCTGTATTTGTGTTGTTGATATCGTTATCCCTAGTTCCTATCACCACCACTGTGCAGTCATTTCACATTAAAACACTCAGTAATTTTGTGTACATCTCAACAACTGAATTATGCAGAAATTTTGAAAAAGTGGTGGAATTCCCCTTTAAAAAGAAAGGGAGAACAGGGGGTGCGGCTATTACTACAAAAATGGGAATTTTGAAGCCTGCTTAAAAGGCTAGCTTGTCTTTCTCACCAAAACAGCAGGTGAGACTAGAGCGTCAGGATACATCACTGACCACCCCCAACTATATACACACTTGTTTAATCTAATACAGACAAAAACATTCACGCATACATACATAGCTGTCTTAAGCAGGGAACACGTCCCCTCCTGGTGTACAGAACAGAACGTTCATGCACATGCCCTGGCATCACCTCTGGCAAGTTTGCTTTAAATGAATGGTTCCATGAAAAATTAAATTTGCAGAGTTTTCCACTTACCAGATATGTTAACCAGGCAAAGCATGTTTGGTGTCAACTGTTCTTCTTTAGTTTAGAACTGGAGCTAAAAGGCTAGTGTTGCTAACAAACACGAAGTCAATAGTCACCCAAATCCTTTCTGTAAATACAGGAGCTCCAGTGCTAAATTAAAGAAGCAAAATGTGGACACCAAACATGTCTGATTGACAACATCTGTTGTAAGTGGAAGATTCTGTAAATTTAATTGTTCGCCGAACTATTCCTTTAAGAGTGGGGTCCAATACCACTCTTCTCTCTCCACATACGCACACACTTAATACAATTCCCTCCTAATCCTACGCACACACAACACACAGTTCTGGACTCTGCTGATGAGCAGGGGTAGCAGGAAAAGAGAAAAAGGAACAAGAACACTTTGAATTTGAGGAGGATCAACGAACTGCCAAAGCCAGAGGAGTCTATTTGTGGGTTTATGGCAGTTACGGTATATGAAATCTGCAAAGTTATTAGAATGCAGACATTATATGTGACACACAAATACATACACATACACCCTACTACCCTGACATACACACACACAAACATACTGTATACACGCAATCATACACAGTATACACACAAACCTTCCCTTGCTTATTGCAGCAATAATAAAAGGGTTCATTTGGATTGAGTAAAACCTGGATGCCATTTTTGGTGACACCTGAAATGTGATGCCCTGAGCTACTGAACAGACACAGTACTATGCAAAAGTCAGAGACCATCCTTCAGGTATTTAATTTCCTAACAAAATAGCTGTTAAAGAAAGTTATTCATGTAATTTTCAGTACCTAGTATGTCTACCCTTTGCCTTCATTACTTATATCCTATCTTTGCAGGAGATTCGTTTTCAGCTTTTCAAAAAAAAAAACTGCAGGGACCACACTTCCAAAGTTCAGTTGTAGAAGTCGGTTGCATTTTCTACTTCTCACAATCCAAGAAATGCCAAATACAAAATTGCAGTACAAATTGTCGTCTTTTTGTCTCTTTCCTTTTCTCAGTAATGGCTTCTTGACAGCTAAACATTCTTAGACACCAATAGCACTGAGTTGTCGGCTCACGGTGGAAGGACGGACAGAAACACCTTTTTAGATCTGAAGTAAGAGTGGAGCTTGATTTTCTCCTCTCTCTCAAACATGAAAGCTTTAAGTGCTGTTCATCTGATGTTGGTCGTCTTTCAGGTCTTGTGAGGTTGTTAGGAGTCCCATTTACTCTTTAAATTTGTTTTTTTTTAAATCTTTTCAAAGTTTAAAATTTTGGAAACTCATGTTATTTTTATACATATTTTCCTTTGACTTTCCTCTTCCTTAAGCAAGTGATTTATCTTCTATCTAATCTCATCAAAAATATCTCCTGAAAAATGAATAACTTGTTCTTAATGGCTGTTTTGACTGGAAATTAAATAAATGAAGGATTGTCTCTGACTTTTTACACTGTACTGTAGACTCTGTGTTTGTGTGTGTGTGGGTGTGTGTGTGGTGGGGGAATAACAGCAGTCTGGCTGAGAAAGTCTTTTCTCTACATCCTTCTCCCCAAACTGTGTGAGGAAAAGAAAGTGGGGCTGGGGGGGACTGAAAAGAATAAAGAGACAGGCCTCATTGGCAGATGGCCTCTCTCTCTCCGTCTTCATCTCTCTCTTTTTCTAATTGTCTCTCTCTCAAAGGAGGTAGAGAGGGCTGGCTGGCCAGCAGAACCTATTTGCCCACCCCCACAGATGGAGGGAGAGAGAGAGAGAGAGAGAGAAGGATGGGGAAGACAGACAGAGAAAAGAGAGAGAGAGAAAGAAAAAGAGAGAGAACATCAGTGGAAACAGGCGCGGTAACAGACGTATGCACCTAGAATGAGTGCAGTGCACACACAGACGTTGGCCAAAAGGGGGCTCCACTCTCCAGCTGCAGTGCCACCAGGTGGGGCCGTATGAGTCTCCGGAGGTGACCGTGTGGGTTTGGATGGAGGCTCTGTCGTCTCTGGGACAGTGTAACTTGGCTTCAGGGCGTTGGCGTGGTCAGGCTGGTCATTAGGCAACGTCTCTGTACTGGTCTCACCTGCTCCTGCCGCCACTGTCCGCTGGCGAAGCACCGTTTCTGGAGGGGCACTGAGAGCAAAAAAACAAAGCAAACGTGCTGGATTTAAGCTAGATGAGGAACACTAGTGTAAAATGCATTAAAGGGTCAATATTCTTTCTATATATGAGCTGATGCGGATATCATCATGTGTCCTTGCTGTGTAGATAATCCTTTGTTCAGTTTCTGAAAAATTATTTTTATAATCCAAACATCAACAGTTTCTATGAATAAATCAAAAAAGTGAAAAGTCAGTAAACCAACTATATTTAGACAAACATACATTATTCTCTGGCAAAATGGACACAATGAACTATGTACAGTATGGCAAACTCTTAACCAAAATTACTATACTATATAGGGTATAAAATACTGTGTGTAATTCCTTAATAATACAGCCATAATGTTCACACTAGGGTACCATTAATGCAATATATCAGAAAGCTACTCTGTGTGCAACACTGTTGACAATGAACTCAAGATGACTGATCATTTTTTCCCCTCTGTATCTGATCTGCGTTTCTCCAAAAGTGTACGTTGTGTGCGTGTGTGTGTATTACCTGTGTATGTGGATCTCGTTCCTCTCCTGTATGAGCTCGTGCTCGGGGAAGAAACGAGGTGTGGGCTCAAACTTTACAGGATCACCCGTTCCATTGTGGGGGTCCTTCAGGGGTCGTGGTCGAGGTGGAGGAGTGAACTCTGGAGGAGGATCTTCCTCATTTGATAACTCCTTCCATGACTCCTACATATGCACGCACATGTATGCATGCGTACGCAAAATTGTACATACGGACACACACAGAGAGGACAACATGACTGGTCAATACATCAGCTATTAACAGGTTTACAAGTTATTGCTAATTAATAGAAATTCTAAATACAGTACTGCCCAAAAGCCAGACCCCTTCATTTTAAATTTCCAGTCAAAACGGCTATTAAGCACAAATTATTCATTTTTCAGTGTTATGAAAAGGCAGAAAATAAATACTTAACAGAAAAGGACACATGAGCCTCAACAGCTAAATATAATTAGTCTTTATATAAATAATCTTTACATACTGTTTATCTGATGGTGACAGTTTTGGCGGTTTAACAGGTCTTGCACGGTTGTCAGGAGTTGCATTTTTTCTACATTCCTTCAATGATTGTTTTTGAATGCCAGTTATGTTCTGTTGACTTCGTCTTTCCTTATGCAAGTGGATGATCTAATCTTCTTAGAAATATCTGATTTAGCCATTTTAGATGCTCATGAGAAAGAAATCTGTGAGGCAACTAAGGCGTGTTTGGGTAATGGCTTGTGTAAATGTTAGTGCCTCTTTAAAAGAAAACAATGTCAGTGACACGTTTAGGAACAGTTTTTGTTTGGACACAGCTGACAAATTAAAGACCAATACATTTGATATTATATATTATATTTGATTATTATTATATTTGATGGAGGCCATTGTATCTGCTAAACATGTTTCCTGCTTGTTTTTTCCTGACACTGAAAAATTAATAACTTAATGGCTGTTTTGACTGGAAATTCAATAAATGAAAGTGTGGTCTCTGACTTCTGCACTGTTCTGTATATTCATCTAAGAGGTAAAACATTAACAAAACACCTTTATGTGTGTATCAACATATAGTCAGCTGTCTGGTCTCACCTGAACAGATGTGTCTCCCATGATGGACTTGGCTCCCTCAATAACAGCGAGGTAGGAGAATCGGAGTTGGTCCGCTGTTTGGATCAGACCCATCCGGTACTGCCTCATGTCCAACAGAACGTCCTTGATCCGGACTGAGGACGGGTCTTTCCTCAGAGACATCTACACATGCAGGAGAGAAAACAGGACATTTCTCAATAGTTATTTTGATTTATGGACTGGATCAAATTCAAAAGCTTGGCTCCTCAAGTCTTAAAACTAAGCCTCTATCCCAACAACAATTCTGTGATTTCCTCCCTGTGTCAAACCTACTAGCCAGACTTGGAGTCACAGCAATTCAGAAATTAGATTTGTCCATTCCAGGAATGTCCACTTCAGTAATGATAGAACAAATATTCAGGAAACAAATGCTCTGGACAGCAAATGAACAAACAGAACAAGAACACTCTGCACATGACCTTACAGAGTGTTTCATCTGATCATCTGACAATCTGTTGGTCCAAATCACCAAATTTATTTTATACACACAAAGACCTGATCATTTAAAATATTCCTACCACATTCGCTGCAGTGCCTCACACACTTGCACAGCACAACATCCATTACCATGTCATACCATCATGGTATCACCACTGTGCAGAGAATGGTTCACCACCTAAATAATATCTGGTGAGTGGTGGTTGTTTATGGATGAGATGAGAGGGGCAAATGGACAGTAACTGATGACATAGAAAGGACACAGGATTGCAGAAGTTTCTAAATTGCTTTTTAATAACCAAAAATAATACCTCCTTCAAAAAGTTACCTTTTTAACATCCAAAAATAATACTTCCACTGCACCAACAGCACACACAAACTAAAATGTCATGTATTAATGTCTATTTCATTAAAACTGATTATAAAAAGCATGGATATATGCTTTGAGACTTCATGATCCTTGTATCGTCTTTTCAAGGTGTTTGACCATGTTAGCCTTTCATCAGTGATCAGTTTCTGACAAAAGGACTACTGTCAGCTGTATAGTTCTGGTTGTAGGACTGTTCTGAATCAGTTTAATGTACATAATGACCAATATTTGGGAATTATATGTGAATTTAATGATGGATGTCTGATTTTATGACCTTAAATTTTTCAAACCTATTTTAAGACTTTGTAAGACTTTTTAATGGACCTGCAGAAACCCAGACTAGAGTTACATGTGCCTAATAAACTGACCACTCTGTACAGGGCAGTATTCTACACAAGCTCTGACACTTTGATTTTCAAAGATGTCTCAGATACGCATACACAACAAGTGAAATAATAATAATAAAAAAAATTTGGTGGTCTCCTCACCAGCAGGAGGCAGGTGTCTACAAGGCAGAAGGTTCCGGAACGGCCGATGCCAGCACTGCAGTGGACCACCACAGGTCCTTGGTCTGAGTTTAGACAGCCTGATTCCCGCACCTTAAACAGAAAGTTCAGGAAGGATGCTGGAGACTCAGGCACACCAAAGTCTGGCCAAGTGGTGTAGTGAAAATGAAGAATCTCTCTGGTTTCCTGAGTCTAGAAAGAGACACACATAGGTAATGCTTATTAGCCCTTAATATCTTATTATTCAGTGACTGCTGTTAAAACTTACTATTCAGTAACTACTACAAATCATTTTGTAACTAATAAATTAATATGCAGGCTATGTAGTTATGATAGTGAGAACATTAAGCGTGCCCCCTTACGGTTCCTTAGATTTAATTACTGCTTGCAAGTTTACAGCATTACAACAGTACTCATTATTCAACCAGCAGTCCTCTGACTGAGCCTTTAACCACTGCCCCACAATGAGTGCTTCATAGAAACGACAGGGAGGTTAAGTCTCTTACTGATAGATTCTCCAGCTCCAGCTGCCGGACTGTGTAGTACGACTTCACATCCTCTGAAACCAACGTCAGCTTGAAGTTTGTGTCCTCAAAAAACGCTTCCCGCTCCTCTTTCTGTGGCCAGTACTGCGCACACTTCACCTGATCCAACAAAACACAGCAACGTGAGGTCAGCACAGCCCTGCATAACACTGGGCACAACACTGGTGACTGTTTCACTTGACTTTGTGTCAGTGTCCAGTGAAACAAGCACTCAGCTAATGTTTCACACTGTTCATTCATGCAAATTTATTCTTCTATAGTACATTTGTGTTGTGTTAGTCCGACAGCGAGGTCACAAAGCTCTAAGTGACTTGAATATAGATGACAGACAAGGTGACATATTCTTCTAAAAGAGTATTAAATTAAAGTTTAGTTAGGTGTCTTTATTATGGCACACAGCTATTAGGGTATTAGCAGACATCTTGAAGCCTGAATTTTGTTTGTACTTTTGTCCCATTTTCTAGACAATAGTATGAAATACAGTATGGCTGAGGCAATGCTGTGTAGTGCGGCAGATGCTTTTTTAATTTAGCTAAATTAGCCTTGTAGCTCCAGTGCAAAACTAAAAAGGAGAAACTTTGAATGTTTTATTTTTTTTCTAATATGTTAACCTCTGACATTGTGTACTAAAATGTACAGAAAAATGCCATATTTAAGTCTGTTCTCTGTAGGATGTGTTAAATTTTCATTTAGAAAAATCAAAACATAATTTGACACCTAATATTCTAACGTTTGCATAAAACTGTACACTTATATTTAATATTTTACAATAATTACAATATAATAATATTTTATAATAATTACAATAATATAATAATAATTTACACCAATAGTTTGTCAAACAGTGCTTTACTGACATGACTGTCAGTCTTCAATAATCAATTTTTTAAAACTCGGCAGAATTCAAACAATAGAAACTCATAAATAATAAAAATATTATAGCACTCAGCATGGAGCTACCTATAATTCCTGTTAATTACCTCATTTTCCTTTTTAATCTGCTGATTCCTTATGACTGTAGTGAAAAGATGTGGGCAACACTCACCGAGCCTTTCTCTATAACACGGTTCAGCATGACAACCCCTCGAGTCCTCTGCTCCCACACCATCTCCCAGAAATGACCGCATGTGTTAGGTAAAGGACCCTGGAGGGATTGGGGGGAGGGAGAGAGAGACAGATTAAACACTGTAAATATTCCCAAGAACTAGATGAACATTTTAACATACAGGTACTTAGAAAGGGAAACCCACTCACTCTTGAGGCAGAATATATTGACAGCCATGATTTATATGCCACTGTAATGAAATAAGCACCTCCATTTCAGGAAGACTGAACATCAAAATCAAGAGACGTGACAGGGTTGGAGGTTTTTGGTTCTTGCTACATTTATGGTCTGTAGAACCAAACAGGCTTTCTCTGCTCAACTCTTTTGTGAAAAACAAAATTTTATTCAGGGACTTATCGCTGCTTTCGGAACAACACCTTGTGCGTCCTTTCTCAGTTTTTGAGGTAACTTAAAAATGTTTGTTATCCTTTACATTGTGTGTAAATTTCATGATGAATGGACCAACAGAAACAGCCCAGAATGACTTAGAAAAATGTCTGGTTCCATTCACTTACATTAAAAGTAAATTCTTAATTATAAATAAATAAATAAATAAGCTCAAAAAACTACTACTAATAGTATCAACAATAATAACTGCAATATTAGTGTTATAATAACAATAATAATATATTATAATAACCATTATAATAATATATATAATAACTATGTAGGTGCATTATTTTTACTATATTAACTGCAATAACAACTATACTATACTGCAATAACTATATTAACTACTATAATAACAACAACAACAAATATAATAATAGATTTGTTTCATGTGGCACTTTGCAGCGGTGCAAAGACAGTTACAATTAGCACACAAACAAATGATACCAAAGATATTATTAGATTAATAGAAAGCACAAGTAAAAGAAATAAAACAGATGCAACGTGTGACTATGATCATAAGTAAAAACCAAGTTATGGGTTGGGTAGGTGAAAGCCTTGAGAAAACAAAGTCTCAATGAGAACAAACGTTAGATAGAGATATAGCATATAAACCAGAAGAAGACCCAAAACTAGAGAATGTTTGAGAAGAGATTATTAAGAGCTTAATAAACAAGAATAAAGAAAAAGGCCTGTAATAATCAGGACATTTTATCTGATGATTAATCCTTTACAATTGTGACATAAGAAACTGCAATCAGCAACCTAATTGTCTTTTTCTTCGATGTATGCGACTCAATGTACAAACTAAAGTGGGCAAAATGGCTGATTATAGTGTTGCTGTCAGAATAAAATGGCATCTACTGTTCACACTGTGACAAAATTTCTTGACAAATGGACCAACAGAAATGGCCCAAATCGACCTAGAAATTTAGGGCTTTACAGCAACAATTTATTAGAAGCTCTCAACTGACAACAGAAATACCTTGGGGTCAAATAAAGAAATATAACTCACAGCTGACCTCTAAAGAACCAAGTCAGAAGTTAGCATTCATTAGACCCACAAAGTTTCCCAATAATCGCATTATCTGCTTCCTTTTATATACATGCATTTGCCTCAACCCAACGAAAAATAATAAAAATAATAAAACTGTGGAAAATAACTGCTGTCAGTTTCAGCAACTGCGATCAGTTTGGATAATTATAATTAGGCAGTAACTGCGACATACCTAGAAATAAGTCTCGAAAGTTTGTGTGACAGTAATTTTACAAGGGTTAAGAAGTTTTGCTAGGCAGTGTAGGTAATTTATGATAAAATACGACTGTCAACCAATATACTGATTTGAGCTTTTCTTTTCTTACATCCTGTACATTAATCCAGAATTTAATTGATGCCACGTGTACATCAAACATTTTACACAGGTTTTGAACATGCTCAGCCAATCAGATTTTAGAACCACAACTACCTGTTCTATAAGAAGAATTTTGAATCGAATACATTCTTTTATGGGGAGCCAATAAGGCGTCTGACGTAAATCTGTAAGGTCTATTTAGGTAACGCATGGCCTGTGCTCTGTCCCGTAAGATGACGTGTGAGTTTAAGCAGAGACAAATTTCCCAGATGAAGTGAAGGGCTGGGCACGTTCAGACGTGTCTGCCTTCTTCTACAGAATGTGCGGGTGAATAAGGAGCTCGGAGGGCGGACTAGCAGAAAGCCTCTCTATTATGATGCATACTCTGGTATTTCACAACACACTTCAGACGGGCCAGGAAGCGTCACCACGATGAAATAAACAGCTGAAAACTTCCTGCATTTTCCAGAAATCCGTCACCAAACACTCACCTAGAGTCTGCACCACAGATCCATCATTATAATTAACAGCATCATCATCTTATGAACTGGAAAATACCAGTTCACACCAGTTCAACAGTATTACAGGAAGACTGACCCATACTGCACATACTGTTAACAGTAATTGTAGGAACTACCTTTCTGCTAATTAGTGAAGGGCTTTTTACATCACATTTGCCGTTTGAATATCCAGCTTTTGTAAAAACAAAAACACCTGGTATTCAAAATTCTAGGGAAAATCGGAGAAAGCAATGTATACTGTTATGAGTATAAACAAAAACACAGAAGGTTTAACATTGATTTACTGCATGCAGCTACCATAAAAGGTCACTGGTTCCTGACTGTTAGGGTGACTTAGTGATTTATCTTTGTATTTTAAAGGATCCATGTGGTCCACTTCTAACTTTTCTGTGGTTTTATGTAGCAAAAATCGAACAGGCAGATATATGTAAATCAGTTGGTCTAATATATATATATTTAATATTAAGTCTAACGTATAAAATTCATACATAGTCCTCACCACAATTCTTGGCACCCCTAGTAAAAAAAGCAAAAAGGGTTATAAGCAAAAAGAAATACATTTATTTTGAGAAAAAGGATCCCTCATTAAGAGATGGCACCTCTGCAATTCTTTGTACAACCTCCATGTGCCAATAAAACAACACTTTGTCATCTCCTATAACATCTTATAAGGTTGGAGAATACAGAGCAGGGATTTTGTGACCATTCCTTTTTACAGAACCTTTCCAGATCATCCAGGGTCTTAGGTCTTCTGTTGTGCACTGTCCTCTGTAGCTCTCCCCACAGGTTTTCTATGGGGTTTAGATCAGCAGACTGACATGGCTGTGGCAGAAGCTTGATCCTGCGTTCAGTAAACCATTTTTGTTTTGATCTGGACACATTTTGGATCACTGTCCTGCTAGAAGATCCAGTGATGACCCTTTTTTTTAGTTTCTTAGCAGAGGCAGACAGATTTTGATTTAAATGTCCTGGTATTTCACAGAATCCATGATGCCACCTTAACACTTTAAGTTTCCCAGGGCCTGTGGAGGACAAACAGCCCCACAACATCACTGACCCTCCACAATACTTAACAGTGAGCATCAGGTTCTTTTCAGTGTAGTCATCTTTCTTTTTACATTTTTTTTTCGTTTTATCTGGCCATAGAAAAGAGTTCCAGTCAAAGTCCCAGCAGCGCTTAGCAAACTCCAGGCACTTACATTTGTGGTTAGATGACAGGAAAAGTTTTTCCTGGCATGCCTTCCAAATAATCTGATAGCATGGCGATGGGGTCTGATGGTAGTTTTGGAGACTTGGTGACCCCAAGGTGTGTGTATATGTGTGTGTGTGTGTGTGTGTGTGTGTGTGTGTGTGTGTGTGTGTGTATGTATATGTATATATATATATATATATATATATATATATACTATATCTATATATATATATATATATACACACACAGCTCAGTCAAACAGGAAGTCATAGATTACTGCTTAAAAAGTTCCTAGAAACTAGAGAATATTTTTTTAAATCTCATAAAATTACTTATGGATTTCTCAGTGTGAGATTAAGCGAATTCACCAAAAGGTGAATTTCGTATAACGTTCTTTACTCATCTTTGCCAGGGGTGGAGGGGACTGTATACTGTATTGGCTGGGCAGTGAACAGTAAGTTTTGAAATGCTAACAGTGACTCTTCAAAGTTCTTCAAAATTACTTCAAATTTCTACAGGGAGGGAAATTTAAGCATACGAGTTTAAACACACAACCAGCAGACTTGCAGAACAATTCTGAGTTACTTAGCTTACACTGCACAAATGTGTCATATACCATTTAATACCTAGTTTATCAACTCAGTAAATTAAATTAGATGTGCTGCTGATGGAATTTAACAGATCCATGCAATGACTGGAGCGAACCAAGAAGTCAGGAACCAAACCTGTGCTCTAATCGTACTCTTTTAGCCAATGTGTTACTAACTTTTTAAGACAAACATCTTTTAGCATTTTACTGTATTTATTCTAATGTGTGTATATATATATATATAGCTGGCAAAACATTTTCATTCAGAACTACATATTTCTTATCCAAATACCCCATCAAGTAAGTGAAAACTACAATGAGTTCTGATTTCCATATATTTGCATGACCATGCCCATCCCTGCTAATTATCAGTAGATATCAGAGAAAAGTACAAAATGTTGTGATGACTGTTCTCTATCTCTCACCAATAGGAGGCAGACAAATGGTTTACTTTTAATAGTTATTTCTGAGCAACAATAAGTCCACACATCTGCTCCTTTATAACCCCCTAATATCAGTCATAGTCTTTCACACACTGCTTCTTACTGAAAGTGTGGACTGTTTCATATTTTAAACTCAAATTAAGTATTTGCCATGCTGAAAGCTGCTGTTTGAATAACTTTCAATGACATTTCCTACAATAAGGCAATAATGCACACCATCCATGCTTTTAAGTGAGGTTATATAGAGGTTATATTGTTTCCTTATAAATAAAGACAACAATAAGGCACAGATGACTAAAGCAGATCTAAGAGCTGCATAGAGCTGAGTGTTGAATGGCCACAACACAACTGAATAAGTAAACAGACATCATACATCACCAGACACATCTGTACATATTTATACTTCCATCATATGCAACAGAACACATTATTTTAACATAAATGACTGCATGTCATAGACTTGTACTGTTTAAATTTTAGGAAAGCTGATTTTTGCAGTTTATGACTATGTGTAAGATGTTGCTATGCAAAGCTCAAGCTGCAAAATGAAGCTCTGTGCAAAACAAAATAAGTAAAAGTAAAGTTAAGTAAAAGCAAGTTCAAATACATATTTTATAACATGATTTTTAAACGAAGCAGGGAAATATTCACACTAAAGAAATGTGAACACTTAAGTATTAAAGGAATATTTCAGCGTTTTTCACATCTGTATCGATTACCAGGGACAATAACTTCCAGGTATTTCTCTGTACTTGGGGAAAAAAATAAAAAAAGAAAACGCTAGCTTGAAACTCAGTTATAATAGAAGTTACTGGGCAGAACTGAACAATTTATAGATAATATAGATAAACCCATGGCGTGCATGTTTCACATCTGAATTTCTCAAGACATTTGTCCCAGATGTGCGCCCAATACAGTTATGTTCACATTTACAACCATCAGACACTGCTGGAACGTGGTAAACATTAGCCATTCACACCATCAGTATCAGCTGTTAAACCACAAATTTTCGAGGACCGGGACCTGAGACTGCAGCGTTGTCTTATACAGCTAACCAAGAGAGGCGGTGCCACAAGAGGCACGACAGGAAACAGAAGTGCAGCAAACAGGCCAAAGGCTAACCCCAAGAGACCGGCTGTTCTTTACTTATTTGTTGCTAATGTCAGCTTCCTCTACCACAAACTGGTGCTAGACGTCTGCGTTTTCATTTTTTATAACTGAAACATGGTTGAAACATCCTTGACTCCTTTCAGCTAAACAGGCCAATAGCCATTCAGCTAAATGGGTTAACCCTAGCGCGCTTTGCGCTGTATATACACTGCATTATCTGTGCTTGTTTGTGGCATACCAGTACAAAGGTTATGACAAAACTCACAACTTTAGAAGAATTTCAACCAATTTACTGTATGAACCAGTACATCGCCATACTACTATTGTACCCTAACCGTTGACTTTTGCTTCATTTTCCCAAATTCCCTTGTCTGAACTCAAACCCTTCCTGTGTTGGCGCCTGTTCATACTCTGACAGCAACACCCAGTCTCTACATGTTTTATTCTGCTCTCTCAACTAGTGTAGAACTTTTTTTTAAACTGAAAAGTGGCTCAAACATATTTGACTCCTTTCAGCTAAACAGACCATTAACCATTCAGCTAAACAAGCTAATCTTAGCATGCTTTGCACTGTTTGTATGCTGCTTGCTTATTTGTGGCATACCAGGATAAAGGTCAAGACAAAACGCACACTTTTAGAAGAATCTGAAACGGTATATCGCCCACTACTAATGCAGCCTGACCTTAAACTTTTCCTTTATTTCACAAATTGCCTGGTATGAACTCCACCTCTTCCTGTGCTGGCCCCTGTTCATACTCTGGGAGCACCACCCAGTCTCTACACGTTTTATTCTGCTTTGGAAACTGTGAAGATGTGAAGTCACAGCAGAGACAGTTCCACTTCACAAAACATGAAGAACTAAACCCCAGGACAATCGACTAATGAACAAGCCATGGTTATATGCTATGATCCCAGGAGTTTCATCATCTGATGAACGCATCCAAGTCTCTATGGTGTCAAGGGAACAATGCAAAGTTAGCATTCACTAGGTTACTTCAGTAACATGCTCAAGTTCCTCTGAGATAGCACCACATAGAGAGAACTAGGAAAAGTAGTTAGGATTCTAGAGGAAGTGCAGAAGGCCACTGGCTCTGTATACTGGGACTCAGGTTTGCATCTAACCTGAGTAAGTATGTAGCTTCTCTGCGCCTCCTCCATGGAGATCAGACTGGCATTGATGTAGTCGTTGCTGCCCAGCTGAAGATGAATTCGGCTGTGGTCGACTGGTAGGGGGAAGGAGGAAGATGGAAAGAGAGAGAGAGGCATTTTTACACCTTCAGTAGAATCACATGATAAAGTACCATTACAGTGAAGCAGTCACACAGGTGCAGCTGAGGAGGAATTCCCAGAGGTCTCTGTGGTGGCACAAACACCACAGACCTTTTTCAGGTCCTTTTCTCAGTTCCACCAAAAGAAAGTCTTCCTGATGTTGAGCAAAGAAAAAAGTTGCAATAATACTGTAAAAATGATCAAAAAGGCTAAAGGCATAAGTGGCTTATCTGCACCGAAAACAGTTGGAACCCATGTATGACATGTTTTTTGCACCAAAAACTCAAAAGCTTTTTTTAGGACTGAGAGGAAAAAAAATGAGAGAGAGAGAGAAAACAAGAGGAAACCACAGCAGCACTGCTCTCTAAAGACGCTATGACGGAAGAGTGAAAAAGAAGGGAGGAAAAAAAAAAAATGACATCGCTGGTGCTAAATGACTTCCATGGCTCAATGATAATCTGCCCTTTTGTAAATTCTGACTTTTTTAATGATGCTGTGATTCCTAAAAATATATATACTGTATAAAGCAAGTTAGCCTCACTGCATTACTTGGATCAGAACACATTTCACAGGTGCCCTAGAACAGTTCAGGTCTTGCAGAGACAGACATCTCAGTGTACTGACGTGGGATCAGGTGTCTCTGTTCTTAATGCATTATTATTATCTATTACAGTTATGATGTCATAAATCATCAGCCTTATTCTGACACACATGGGTCCAGGGCCCTGCCTCACAAAGCACATTAAACTAAGGCAGAGTTTCTGACAACATTTTGGCTTCATAAAACCTGACAAATGTAATCACTGTTAGCTCATTTTATGATGTAAGGCCATCAGGATCATGACATTTTGCCATATAAATAATTGCAATGAACAGTTAACTTGTCACTTATTGTGACGAGCTGTCATTACAACTATTAAAGCACAAGCCTAAAGTGAGCAAATTCACAGATTAGCAGTCTTGCTTCCTAGTTGCTGACAGCTCCCGACTTATGACACACTGCCCGAGCTCAAATAAACAAACAATACGTGCATACATCACTTACACTGACTTCTAATCATGTTACGGCATCAATCAGAAGTAAAGATTTTGTTGTTTTTGTGACACATGTAAAGTGTCTCAATAAATGTGTAGTCTGCTTTCTTTTATTTACACAAATTTGCTAAAACTCAACACACGAAAATGGACCCAATTCCCATTCTGTTTGTTGCAATGTAAATATACGCTAGTGAAAGCTAACAACAGTGGGAAATCAAACAGGTTAAATAATTGCAGACAGGCAATTATGTAATAATTGTGACAGGCCTAAATTTGCTGAATATACTGTAGATATCACAGTGCTTAAAACACTTCACAGATGCATGTTTGACTACAAAGACAGCATAGTTAGTCCTGTTTAATTATATTTAGTGCAAGCCAGTATGTAAAATGTTGAATACAAATCATTGGATTATTAGGTTTTGATAGTATTTTTAAAACATGGCTCTATTTTGTCTGTCCCAACTTATCAAATGTAATAAAAAATAAATAAAAAAATGTAAAAGTTGTGCTTCGTGAGGTACGCCCCTGGTCTGTGTGCATATCATACCGGGGTGGGAGGGTGAGGGGTTGTTACAATAAGAAAATGGTAGAATAACTAAAGCACTAACTTGAAAAAGTGGAGAAAAGCAAAATACTCCGGATACTTTCACCCTTAATATCTAATCATAAAAAATCTGCATTAATCCCTGGAAGTTAAAGACACACGTACATGGGCTGACATCTCTGTAGCGATTGCGGCTTCTGTTTTCTGGAAGTTTGGCAATCCTGCATGGCAGCTCACTTGACTGTTGTCTGATTTCCTACAGAAAGAAACAAACAATTTGTTAAACCACTTGCACAGAACAATAAAAAAGTGCCACATTGTCTATACAAGTATAGCAAAAATATTTAAAACGTTCATTTTGCATACAATTTGTTAGTGAGAATCTAATTTCCTGCTTTGGTACACATGGGTGGTTACACATGCGTGCGCACATACACAGACATGCACATCTTGCTTTTGCATCTTCACTATCACACTGTGACTTCTATTCAGAAAAATGGGTCTTAAATATGTTAAGTAAAAACAGGATACCATAAGCTTCTTTCTTGACACACTGTTTGAAATATAAAACATTTAGTCTTAAAAAGATCATCTGTACTGCAAAAATCTAAGCTAACTGTACATGATTTAAGGTTTATTCTGTTTTGACCACACTGTCTGTTCTGTGCTTTGAAGGCTTTGATGCTCTATCTGACAAGCATCTACCCTATACATTACACACAGAGACAGACAGAGAGAGAGAGAGAGAGAGAGAGAGAGAGAGAGAGAGAGAGAGCCTTAATTTGAATTTACCGAACGACACACCACGATGACAAAAACATTAAACGTGTGAAACGCCCACTCTCATGGTTCTCTCACTGAAGAACTCACTATAAACTGACTGGCGCAGAACTGTCAGTAGGGTCCTCTTTAGCATCGAACCATTTAAAGCCTAAAGCCTAAAGTTTCACTGAGTAATTACGAACAACGGTCTTTAATCGTGCTGCTTCAGTCAGAACATGAGAAGAGCAGCGAGAAGACCAGGTCATTTACTCGATTAGCAAAACCGCTAGCTGTTAACAACACCTAAATAACTCCGGGATATATCGAGGTTTGTCATATACAGAGACCAAACCAGCACTGTGGACCTGTGTGCTAGCTGCTGCTATAACAGAGCGGGCTGGCTGGGGTTGGGTTAGTTTAGTCCCCTCTCTGCCGTGTTGCTGAAGCCTCTTCACAGAACTGAGGTTTGGTAGGCAGCCAGCTAGTTACTCGTTAGCTCGTCAGAGTCTATCAGCTCAGCTCACACTAGCAGGGCAGTCTGTGTTAGCCAGCAAGCTAAGTGTCATCAGCACGTTGCCGTAAGGCCAAAGAGGACGTTACGCACAACGGCATGACATTCACCCACGAGATAGCGGGTCCTAAGCTCGCCGTCTTCACTAAAAAGGAGCCCTGGCGGAGCCGCGGGTCGAACAGGAGCTGTTAGGTCGCTAAGCTGCCTACCTGGTAAATGGCGTTCCAGTTCCCGGATTCATCAATTTCCCGAAACTCGGCTTCCATTGCCGTGCGTTCTCCAGCCCGCTCCCCCTACTGCCGACCGATGACTCCTGTAGAACACGTACAAGCTGTTAGGGAACTTGGCGCACAAATTACATCAGCCGCGACAGCTTCTAAAAGTACGGCTTTGTTTTCTAAGTGGATATTTTTACAGTACTGTTGTCTCTTGGCCTGTTCTTACCGGAAACACGCCGCACGCTCCTCCCGCGCCGCTGCGCCTGGGTGCGGTACCACCCACCGCCCCGAAGAGGCCTAAACCAGCCAATCACAGGACGAGAGCGGCGGCCCGCTCACAAGAACAACCAATCAAAACGCAGCTCTGGGGCGTGGACAGCACCAAGACCAAACGGAGCGCGAAGCGTTAACACGCAATTTGCCTGGGCATTGTAGTGCTGCAGAGTTGTGTGTTGTAGTTTTTATGTCAAACATTTTCTGCCGTGGTTCTGGAGAACCATTCCCCTTACATTCTTCCTGCTTTAACGCACTCACTTCAACTCCACAAGAGCTTATTAACTAAGACATTAGTCGGATCATTTTCATTAGCCGGATTATTAGTTGGATCATTTTCATTATTTGGGTTATTTTAAAAAGAAATGTGCAGAACAGTTGGTCTAAGACATTTAATATGTATAATATATTAATGCATTACAATAAATGACTACATTTAATCCGGTTAACATTAGTTTTTGTACTTGTTTATGTCCATCTGCCTCACCAAGGTTACTGCTATATGATAGTAGTTATTATAAATATGCATTATAATCATCAAGTATATAAGTAATAATAATAGTAATTACCATCATCATCATAATCATCATTATAGTGGCAACAACAACAACAATAATAATAATAATTTACTTATAGTAATATATTTTCACAGAAGAGGAAAAGTAAAGCCTTAATATTATTGATTTATCACTATTTAGTAGTATTTACACCCCTCCTCTGATAGTTATAACTTTCCTTATCAGCCAGTATAACTCAGGCATCAACGGCATTAACATATATGCATATCATGAGCATCATTCCTGTTTGTAGTTATGCTTTGTTAAAGGGAAATTCCACATATTTTAACAAAACTTACAGACTCAGACTTCTTTACAGTGATGGTGACAGAAACTAGGGAATGAGATATCTACAACACAATTATAGCTGTTTTGTTTACCATCCAAAACAGCCAGTGGATTTGTATGTTTAGGTCCCATACTTTAACACAAAACTATCATAAACAATGTCTCAGGCATCAGGCAACATATACATAATCTATATAACATAATGTATGCTTTTGTGTGCTAGCTTTCAGTTACACCTGTCTGGTGTCACCACCACTGTAAACTACTCTGAATCAGTACATTTTTCTAAAACAGCATTTCACATCAAATCAATCTGAATGATGTTATTTATATTCTAACCATTTAATTCCGCAGGACTTTTGAAAAAAAGGGATAATTCCTATTCAACATATGGGTATACAATATGGACGTTAATGCTGTTTATGTTATACTTTATCAGTCCCTAAAAGGGAATGGTGGATTGTCATCTTGGCTACGAGAAATGGGGTCTTATTGAAAGGTGGCCTTGTGAAAAGTATAAACTTGAGACACTTAAGTAATGCATAAGAATTACCATAAGTAGTCTATCGTATTTAAATATGCAGTACAGAGCACTGTATCGGGATATTTGCCCTGCCCGCGTCTTGCTGGTGTCTTAAGTCTCTTCCCCCTTTTTATCGCAGCACTTACTGTGCTGAGTTTCACAGCTCGTTATGCTGCTGACAGACGACCTGCTTCCAGGAAGGAGCCTCTCGTTAGCTGTAGCTACTTAACCATTAACTGCGCGGAGTGAGGGCGAGATAACAGCTCACAGTAGTTGTTTTCAATCCTCAGACTCAAACAGAAAACATTTTTCAACAACGTCTATTTCAGCCACCTCGACCTGACATCAGGCGACTCCACTTCCTGGTCGTTTTTAACCCAAACAAGCTAAAGACAGCTAGCTAGCTAGGTTAGCTAGAACCAGACCGGCTAGTCTGGCAGGCAGTCTAAACTGAATGTGTATCCAGCGACTTTTCCTTTCCGAGAATTTCCTCCTGATGCTGAAGTTAGCTTACTGAGTGTGGTTGAACAGCGCTGCCGTGGTCAACAGCTATCTTGAGCAGGTATGGTGGGTCTGTAACAACACTGACATGGCTAATGGAAGCATTTTATTTGTCTGTATAAATGAAATGAAGAGCGCTAGCGGCGCTAGCAGTCACGGCTGCCCTTATACCTTTGGTTGTTGATGCCATGCTTTGTTATGAGGTGCATAGTGGACTTCTCTGGCAGGTGGAGAGCATGTAACGTTATATCGACATACGATTGTTCAAATTCTTGAAAACGTCTCATATCCACGTTTTTTAAAACTGTAGATCAAGCTAGCCAGCTAACGTTAATTTTACCTTTACCACCAACTCAGACTGACATTACTTGCGGAACGAGTTGTGCCACGTCATGTAATAACATCGATGATATTAAATAGGTTGAAAATGTTAAAACAGTGTTTAAAAATGTCCTAGAACAATGATGAGCTGTAAACTTTTAGTTCTTACTCATGTTGTGAACATCTGCTTTGGTGGAATGAGAAGGAAATTCACTTTCAGAATTATAACTAAGACACAAAGTTAATACACCATTGCTCAGTGCGTTTACCTATTAGTAGTACAATTTTAATTAAATCCAGTTGAACATGATGGTTTGTATGCATTTGCACACATTGTCTGTGCTACTGTCTATATCACACATTGACTGTCTTCCAAGTTTTAGGCAGTGCTTACTTCCCTTTCATCATTTCATTTTTAGCTTCACAATAAAAGTAGGTCATCATTTTTATCTGGCCCATTTTTAGCTTTTTATTTTTTGTTTAAAATCTATTCACCTCACACCATGAGCTTAAATGCAGTATGTTGTTTTGTGTCTGCTTTGCTTCATTATTGTCCTATTGCCTTCTTAATGTCATGCTAGGATTTCAGGACTTTGACAGTCAGCTGTGGGGCAAGGTGGGGCCCGTGGGGAGCTTTAAGTTCTTCTCCCCATGACAACGCGACACCATGGCAACAACGGCTCCAGTAGTGATGCCGAGTGGCGGGTCTCAGAGGACGAGGAGAACATGGAGGACGTGGAACTCGCTGAACTTGGACCGCTGCTGACCGGTTCAGAGCCCAAACCCAGAGTGAGTGATGTCTGAATTAAGAGCAGAGAGAGAGAAATAAAAGAAAGGAACACTGTTAGTACACGGCCCATCAAAAGCTTAGGGGTGCCATGCTTTCATTTGAAATTTAAAGTTTAGTGCTTTTACTTTTCAATTGACCACTTAAACAGCCAGAACGTACTGGTGGGACCAGTTTTACTACAAACTTCTGTAACCTAAGAATTACTCAGCAAGTTTGCATTGTAGTCCATGTAGTTACTGAATAGTAAGCCTTATTTGGTTTTGTTAACATAAAATATATACTAATTTACAAAGTTTGGGTATGTTTTACCGTCAACTACCTTCACATTCAATAAAAGGACTTTCTTGGTATGAAGAGCGGGTTTGACCCAAAACTGCAATATGTAAGATTGTTTGTTTTGGTAAAATTGAAAGAAGCAGCATTACTAAATTAAAACATGGTGTGTGCGTGCGGCTGCGAGTCGCCCTGTAAAGCCTATAATAGTCATTAGAGTTCTCTGTGGATATAAAAGTGTTTTTATGTATACTTAAAGTAAAACATTAAAGTGTTTTTTGTGTTTCTAATTACATTTTGACTATGACATAATGATTTAATCACTATTATGATTTATGCTAGACCTGCATGTATCATCTACAAAATAATACAAATATCAGATTTTAATATTAGCTTTGTTTTTCAGTTATTTATTTTTTTTAGAACATACATATAGAATTGTTAGTTTTGAAAAGCTAGGTGCCCTCAAACTTTGGTTGGGCAGTGTATAAGTAGAAAAATACATTTGAACAATCAAAGGCATTAAAAGCTGAAGCATATATATTGCTGTGCATTGATGTCATTCTCAATTCTTATCAGTTCTGTCAAGAGCACTGCTTTAATTTCACCCTATTGACTGTATTTTGTGTTTTTCAGTTGCTGTCCCTGCATGTCCTTTTTAATTCTGAACTTAATTTGTATCCACAGGCTGCAGGAGCATTCCCAGATGATGACGATGATGATGATGAGGAAGAGGAAGGTCAGGGCTTGCGGATGGTCACGCTGCCCTTGCAGGCTCACCATGCCATGGAGAAGATGGAGGAGTTTGTGCACAAGGTAGACAGATACAGTGACATATATCAGGGCAGCAGTGCATGATATTTCACAAAGCAAAAATTATCAATTAGTCAGATAATCAAGTGTTTTGAGTAAGAGAAGAGATAAGGGACATTCCTGCTTAGCAATCCTCGTTTTGGGCTGTTATACAACTTACTGAGAAACCCTACTTCGTAAAATGTCTCCCTAGTCAATTTCTGGCATGTAATGTTGCATTAGGATATACAAACCTCCTATCCCATTTTAGCACTCTTACAAGCAATCCTGAGATTTATTGGCCTTAAATGGCAGCAATTAGTGAGCAGTAGTCTAATTTGTCAGCTTTGTATTTCAGGTGCATCTGAGAGGCACTTGTTGTTATTTTACCTATGGGCGATGTTATTTGCAGGTTTGGGATGGGCGCTGGCGAGTGATCCCCTACCAGCTGCTTCCTGATTGGCTGAAGGATAACGACTACCTACTTCACGGTCATCGGCCGCCCATGCCGTCATTCCGGGCCTGCTTCGGTAGCATCTTCAGGATTCACACAGAAACAGGGAACATCTGGTCACATTTATTGGGTCTGTAGCTAAAACTTCATGTGTTCATGTACTGTTGTATGTTTGAAAGAGTTTTAGTCTTATCTGTGTTTGCCAAGTAACCAGCGTTTTTAATCTGCTTCTTATCTGTTTGAGGCTGTCAATGGTAATTATGTTTAAGCCACTGACCTTACGCTGACTTTATTATAGCTTGATGTTTGCTTTTCAAATGATGGCCTCCACTTGCAGTAGTCTAAAGGCACTTGAATTTTGAATGACTGAAGAAACCCTTATATAACCATAGGTGTGTGATGACGATTAAGTCTCCACGGTGTTTACCACATGTTTATTATCCTGTTATTATCCTCTCAGGTCTCATTTTGTTCCTGTTTCTGGGCACTCTGACCATGCTGCGGCCAAATGTGTCATTCATGGCTCCTCTGCAGGAGAAGGTGGTGATTGGGATGTTCTTCCTGGGTGCTGTGCTCTGTCTTTGCTTCTCTTGGCTCTTCCACACAGTCTACTGCCACTCAGAAAAAGTCTCCAGGACATTCTCTAAGTGAGTACATGAACTATTTATAGGGCTATAGCAGTATTCAAACATGCAAACATGAAAATTTCCATTTTGAATGCTGAATGTCATTCACACTAATCGCATAGATTTAGCTTTTAATTTTAGAAAGTGGGGGTGGGTGAGTCTGCTGCCAGCCCTCTTCCCCAAACACAGCTCAGCAGCAGCTCATGGCCATTATTTGGTTAACTCACAGTTATAGTATTTATTTTTTTTTGCAGGCCAACCAGAGGTAATATATTGTTACTGAAACATCACAAGAAAGCCATGTTTTGGGAGCAGTAAAGTTGGTCTCATTTTAACATATTCATGTTCTGTTTTTGGTAGTTTTCTAACAGTGGTAAACCAAGACAATCAGCTTCACTTTTTTTGTTTGAAATTGCGTTTGTTGATTCCTGTAGACTGTTGTAACCGCTATGAGAGCTAAATGGCCATCTACAACTTAAATCACGAATAGCGATCATCAAGGGGGCCAAGCATGATACACCATTTCGGAGCCAGTAGAATACAAATGATGATTTGTCAAAGATAATAGTAGATACCTAAAGACTAATACAATTTTTGAATGTGACTTGCATTTACATAGATGTTGAACTCAGCAAGTAATAATTCTACAACAGTTACCCCTGTGTTTTAGTCTAGAGTTCACCAGAATGCACCAACATTTTCATGTTAAAATCCCTAAAAACCTCTCCTACAAACAATGCTGCTGAACCTCACTACAGAGGATTGGTTTCTGAACTTGTCACCTTTTTCACTGCTCATGAGTTTTTATGTCTGACTATTGGAGCTGGATTAGTTTTACCAGACAAAGTTCGGTAATATAATTTGTAACAGATTCGGTTGGCTAATTTTCCCAAATTACCAAAGATAGTCCAGAAGTACATATTAGCGCTACACACTGCATTTAATAACAACACAGAACACAGCAAGCATGGCAGTGAGAAGAACATGACATATGAGGAGGGAGGAGACACCTCATTTTACCCTAGGCTGTACTGAGGAACAGAGTGAAGTCTAGTCTCGCTAGAAATGATCTCGTAATGAGAATACACATCTGGGAACATGGATTAGTGCTGGATTAGTACGCTCCCTCTAGAACTCACCAACTTCCTCTAGTCTGTGCTCTTTAAACATCCAGATTACAATTACAATTTTGAATATCCAAAGAAAAATAGGCTAGCTAGTGAAATATTGGCCAACAGAACTGTTTATCCTTGTAAGAGGTAATGTTTATTTTTACCACGTAATGTGTTCTTGGCACACGCGAGACACACCAGCATGCTTGATCTGAGTTTTTTTGGGGGACTTTTTTTGAGCCATGCTAACTTACATTTTATTGTTGGGCTAATGACAGGCTTGTTGTCTGTCAGAAAGTATTGACAGGTGCATCATTGCCCCTCCTTTGAGTTCCGCTTTCTCGAGATATTGGACTGGTTTAGAAACGTCACACTCAGTTTGTTCCCACCTGCATAGGAAAACGTTTCCACTGAGACATTTAGCCCAAACATTCTGATGGTTGTCCGCAGATATTCTCATTATGAGAACATTTCTGGCCCTGCAAGACTTAAGTGATGTCATCCTTTAGCACGTTATTATTACATTACCATGAAGTCAGTTCAAGCAGGAGTAGTGGTACTGAGGTAAGTGTGGCTTTTGGTCTGCATATTTGTGCTTCCTGATGCTTTGCCCATGTGCGTGTCTCTTCAGATTGGACTACTCTGGCATAGCACTGCTGATAATGGGCTCATTTGTCCCATGGCTATACTACTCCTTTTACTGTTCCCCACAACCGCGGCTCATCTACCTCTCCGTGGTGTGTGTGCTGGGCATCGCCGCCATCATTGTGGCGCAGTGGGACCGCTTTGCCACGCCACGTCACAGACCTACACGTGCAGGTAACACACACACTTGTGTAGGTAATATACGCCCCAGCAATGTGCACATACAGACAGTGATTGACAGTAACTAAGTACATGAGCTTAAGTACTTTTTTAAGTATCTACACTTTTGTTAAAATATTTCCATTTTTGAAACTTTTACCTTCAGTTTGCTCCATTTCACAGTAAATTATCCCACTTTTTTCTTCACTCCTTTCTGAACGATATTATGTGGTAATAACTAAATTTTCTATAATATCCAAATGAATCCTTCCCTTAAATATAACAGTTTCCAACCATAGCTTGGCAACTGTAACTATGCCCGGGCAACTCTGACAAGCTTTCAGAAGCAATGCTGTAATGTTGTGTAGGGTATTTCAGACTTGAGACAGATTGTCAGAGTATCTCACTTTTATTTAAGTAATATTTTATCTGTACTTTCACTCGAGCAGTGGATTTGTGTACTTTGTCCACCACTATCATACAGATAGCACAGACCCACACGTTACGTTTACTCATGCAGATGCACCTTTCCAAGAAACAAGCTTTGTTTTTCAAAGAGTTATTATATGTGTGAGGAATGGGGAATGTTGAATACTAAAGAGTTAACTTTTTCATATTTATGTATATCTTCAGGTGTGTTTCTTGGTCTGGGGCTAAGTGGAATCATTCCCACCATGCACTTCACCATCGCTGAGGGCTTTGTGAAAGCCACAACAGTAGGTCAGATGGGCTGGTTCATCCTAATGGGTGCAATGTACATAACTGGAGCTGGACTCTATGCTGCACGAATTCCTGAACGCTTCTTTCCTGGAAAATGTGATATTTGGGTAAGATGTAAAAGCAGAGCACTTAAATGAGGGGTTTAAATAAATTGAAGAGTGAAATTGGCATGAAGCAAGCTGTCAGACTAACTGATGGACATTTATCATTGTAGCCCATGTTATATATTGTTAACTAATTTCAGTGTGAAATGGAAAAATACCATAGGTATGGAGTGATGAAATCTATGTTGTTTTCACACTTTTTTTCACAATCAAATAAGATTGTTTGTTTATTTTGTATTGGTTATTATTTGTTAAAGCTGCACCATGTAAGATTTTTGTTAAAATTGAAATAAGTAGCGACCCAGAAGGATAAGCTGTTTAGATGATGGATGGATGTATGAAATAAGTAGCATTACTCCCCTCATCCTGTAAAGCCAGAAAAAGTAATTTAAAAATCAAACCGTTAGGTCTGATTTCAAGGGAATTTTTAAGACCATTTCTCTATGTAGTAACGTTACGTGCATAGGGTCAAAAAAAAGGTTCAGCTCGATATTTAGGTCCCAAAAAATAACATTATACTAATAGATATGATAACAATAGTAGATAATTCACTAACATCCTCAGAAGGCACGTCCTTCACTGAGTTTTGACTGAGTTCTCTGAATACTCTTTCAACGTGCTTGCAATCATCAGGTTCATCCAGTCAGGGAAGGGGTCCAAAGCACAACCAGTGTTACAAAATGTTGTTCTGCATGTTGCATGCAGTTACACATTTTCACCATAGAGGTCTCCAAATTCCCAAAACTTACATAGTGTGGCTTAAAAACAACAGTCGCATGTGACCAGTAGACTAAATGTACAGCCATTCCATTTGATCACAATTTCTCTTTCTTGTGTTCCAACAAGTTCAGAAATATATAGACAAAAGGAAAGTTTAGATATTGATATTAACAAGTTAAGCAGAAAGTCAAAAGTCTAGCTGCAAACAGAAGTCTGTTGCTTTTTTCTGTCATCTCTATGTGCCAACGATTCTCTCTCTTTCTCCAACTCTCCTTTCCACAGTTCCAGTCCCATCAGATATTCCATGTGCTAGTGGTGGCTGCAGCATTTATTCACTTCTATGGTATTTCCAACCTGCAGGAGTTCCGCTATGGCCTGGGAGGAGGCTGCACAGACGACTCCCTCCTCTAAACATCATCCTTCCCTCCCCTTATTTGCTGTACTTCAATGTTTCTTCCTTTCTCCTCAGTACTAGTGTGCTGACTACTTTGAACACTCCTGAATCAACAACAGCTGGAAAAGAGCAGGTGCACCCATCCACCTACTACCCAGTGAACGCTGATCAAAAGTTGTACTGAGTCCAAGATTAGTGATTTTAAAGGATTACTACATTTATTTTAAAATGTTTATGTTATCACAGATGATTTAATATTGAAATACTTGAAAACCTTGATGAGGGAAAATCTCAGAGCTCAGTCAAGTGTTTGTTCTCGGTTCAGTTTTCAACACAATGTCAACAAGTACACTGTAAGAGACGTTCAGACATCGAGCACTGGGAGCTGTCTAAACAGCACTACCTCTTTTTTTCCTTTCTGGTCTCTGCACACTGCTGGGTCAACATGCTCCAAATCTGGGAGTAGTAGCTACAGGTTATGGACTCCACAAAAGTTTCTAATTTTACAGAATTTTATGAGAACCGAAATGAAATGTGAATGTCATTTATCTGCTGTAAATGATTTCATGTGACCTATAGAGTTTGTGAATTGAACTTTCTTATATACATTTTTAGATGTTTGAATTTTCCTGTAAGGTCTCACGGTCAATATGTATCTCACATGTTCTTTTTAAATAAATAAATAAATAAATAAATGAATAGCAGAAATATACATTATATAATTTAAAGGGTATATGTCATGGAAATGCAATTTTTTTCTTACTTTTTATGAAAGAAGAGTTTAATGTAGTACAAAAACTGTTCAAATAAAAAAACATTAACTCTCCAGTTTATATGTTGAAACTAAACTGAAAAGCATCCTGTTTAAAAGTCTTCGTTGTTGTGAAGTCACAAAAACCAACGCATTTATGGCTTGGTTTGAGACAAAGTGTGCCTCACCTTGGTGGTTGCCGGTTGTGGTTGCAGGAGACGGGAAACTGGACATTTTGACCAGCAGCGCCCATTGTGAGCTGGCAGCTCTTGTGGTGTTTACCTATCATATCTAACATTTGAAGATTATAATTTGAATTTCACATACAAAAACAATAACCACATTCACTACACATTATAATGGACTATGTGCTGTATTCAAAACTGCAGCTGCCTCGCTACCGCAAGATTTTAAAGGCATATGTCATCATGATATGATGCTGGTGCCACTGCAGGTCAGACAAAAAATATTATCAGTATGCACCATACTAAGCCAGGCAGCGGTCGGTCTGTGCAGCACCATATTAAGTCGAACAAGCCTTACATAACCAGCTATTCAGCCTAGAGCAGTTGAGCTCCACCCATTCATGCTGAAGTCATAAAGAGTGTTTCAGCCTTTTTGAATGGGGCTCAATAGAGCACAGTCAATCAGAAAAGAGATCATTTACATATATCAATCTTAAAAGCACAGTAACAAGAACAGAATTCTAAGGGATGACATTGGGAAAAAACTAATTGTGACTGTTCAAACTGTTTCAAACTGTGTTTGAAAGCTCATAAACATCATAAGTAGCCCTTATGATAATAAAATAAAACATAAAAATGTTGCCTGTAGAAGCTTTAGTCCACATACCCATTTCTGCTGGAAGTGGTCACATCCTTAATCTCCGGCTGAGTCCGAAACTAAGGGAAGTTGCTGTGTTGCATGTGCTGTCTCATAAGACCGTGCCTTACAAGGCAGCATTTATTGCGTTTCAGACAGCCTCTGTTTCATGTAAAGGGGAACTCCACCGATTTTTCCAAAAATTCTACATAATTAAATAGTTCAGATGTAAACACAGTCGTTCAGAGTGGTTTGGTGTGAAATGCTCAGTTCTTAAGAAACTTACACGGTCAGAATTTTTCACAGTGATGGTAATAGGAACCAGATGTCTGAAGAGTTTAATGCCTCTAACAACTCCTGCACAGAAAGTTATTACATGAAAAAGTCAGATATGTGTTGCCGGATATCTGACACATTGTTTTATGATAGTTTTGTAATAAAGTATTTTGCTTAAAGTGTAGATGGGGGTAGATGTAAGGCAAAATAGTCACCAAAGAAAACTTTTTTTCCAGATTTATGACTATTTGCCTATATATAAACTAGATGACTATATAAAAACTCAGAAGGCACGTGTAGGTTCACTGGTGGTTTTGGATAGTAAATAAAATGGCTAGATTTGTGTTGTAGACATGGCGCCCCCTGGTTCCTATCACCACCACTGTAAAAAAAAAAGTCTGTAAATTTCTCTACAATAAACTATTTTGTGTCAAATCACTCTGAATTTCTCTGTTTACATCTGAAGGACTGAATTATTCAGAAAATTTGAAAAATTGGTGGAATTCCCCTAAAGTCACTCCAAGGCTGTGTGTGAAACGCAATGAACGCGGCTCAGACAGTTTAATGTTTGTATAAAACGCTGCCTGCTGTTCCTCCCCCGTTCGGTGTATCCTCCGCTGCCTTTACATTATCCCATGATCTTCTGTTCCCTCGCCCACGCGATTAGAAAACAGTAAAAAACATTAGCCGCGACACAGTGGACAACAGACTTATAAGACAGCACAGGCAGCAAGACATCGAGACAGCTGCCCTCGATTTCGGACACAGCCCAACAGAAGGCGTGAAGATTTATCCAGTTTATCCACCAGAGGGCGCCAAATATGTATGGCATGTTCTCACTGGTTGGTTTCATAGCAAAATCCACATTAAATCTAGTAAGTTCTAACAATAAGCGGCAAATGAAATCCCGGCTTGCTTTACTGATAGACCTATGTATTGTTTTTATCTCTGTCATTTATTACTGCTTTTATTGCTTTACAACGTGGGCACTGCGCCGTCACCGGGGCGGACGTGGTGACGTAGCAGTGTTTTGGTTGCCGCCGTGTTGCTGAGGAGGCGACAGAGCAGAGCCACATCAGAGTGCAACAAGCAGAGGAACTTTTACTCCTTAACTTTAATAAAATCCCGAAACTTAGCAGAGTTTGGAGAGTCGAACAGATACAAGTATATGTTGCATTATTTTGGGCTACGTGTTGATTTGGTCCACCTTGTTTTCGGCATTCTTTTCTGAGCGTCCTGTAGAGGATCAGTCTCGCTGGAGGATGAAGCTCTGTAGGCGGCTGGTGTAGGACTGACTAACCGCTCACAGCCCACAGACAGACCTCCCTTTTGGTCTCTGCTGCCGCTGGTGCGTTGAACAAGGGTTTACGTTTTATTAATTCTTCTGCTAACGTAAAATTAATATAGACATGCTTTAGATTTATATGTGCTCAGTTTGTATGGTAATTATGGTAAATTAGCCATCTAGCATCGGTGCTAACACAATCCAGGTAAGAACCATATACCATACCAACGGTGTTTAGCCAGTAAGTTAGCCACCTAGCTTAGCTAACTAGCTAGCTAAAGAGGTAGCTATCTAGTTAAGATAGTTGTGCTTGTGGATACTCTGTTCCAGCACGTTTTCTACACGCCTTGCCTCGTAGTTACACGTTGTAGACTGAACAATCCGTTTACAACCAAAACAGCCTCTGTTACAACGTTAGCTAGCTATATTCTGCTAGCTAGCCCCAACTGATGTTACTGTTTGCTGGTAGTCCAGTCCAGTGGTCTGCATTGAGGCCAGGCACATACAAGCTTAGTAGTAGTGGTAACTATTTAAAAACAGAATCCTGTATTTTATAATTACCTAGGTATTTCGAGACGTTCTGGACATCTCTCAGCTAGCTTAAGGCTGGCTAGCAAGGTTAGAGGTTCATACAGCAGCGGATCTTTCTGTGTCCTTACATTTTGTCAGGTGATCACAGTGGCTTTAACGTGTTTGCATCCTAAGTTTTAGATTTAAAATTTAAAAATTATTTATCCTGACCAATGACAGCAGCTATTACAGTAAGGTGGCATTGGTCCAACTTTTTATGATAAACTGTTTCACCTTTATATGTCCATATTTAGGTCCATCAGTGTAAGGTCCATTTAAGGTAAAGCATTAGTTTAAAATCAGACAGTTTTACCTGGAGAACTCACTTTTTAATTAAGCAGTTTCACCCATTCAAGATGTGCTAGGATCCTTATTGATTTTTTTTTGTCATATAAGATCTGTGTCCACAGAGCATCCTATTGTAGAATTGCCCTTGCCTTTAATTTTGTATGGTTTTCTGTATGCTCAGTGTCTGATCTCATTTGCTGTTTTATGAACGCAGACCCAAATCTTGCTTTATCATCCTGCACTGCCTGTGGAAGTGTCGCTCTCCCCCATCGCCAGTCGCCATGGCGCCCAAAGACATCATGACCAACTCGCATGCCAAGTCCATCCTGAACGCCATGAACTCCTTGAGGAAGAGTAACACGCTGTGTGACATTACGCTGAGGGTGGAGAACACAGATTTTCCCGCCCACCGCATCGTGCTGGCTGCCTGCAGTGATTACTTCTGTGCCATGTTCACCAGTGAGGTAACCACAAAGACACCAACAGTGTTAATCAAGTCTTAAGTGTGTGCTGTGGTTTAAAATGCATCCTACACATCTAATAAACACTGTTCATCACTGCTTGAGTGTCAGTAGCCTACTAAAGTGAGCATAATAATAAAAGTATGAGCCTATTGTCCATTGCCATCCATTTTTTTGCCAGAGCAGTAGAGGAATGGACCTGTTGTTTACAGTTTTACAAGACGACTTTTCGAATTGAGGAATAGATCTGCGGTTTAGAGGAAGTTCTCATGTGTGATAACAAACCTGTGATAAAAAAGCCCCTTTCCATCAAACAGTCGGTTCTGGGATTCTGAAAATCTCCCATGAATTGTTGATTTCTCAATTTGAATTCTACTGAGTATGCCAAAAGTCTAATGAGGATTCTAATTTTCCTCCGCAGCCTCACTAGAGAGAGTTGTAGTTGAACACATGACTCACAATAGAGCACTGGTGGTTTGTGGTTTTAAAGGTGGTCTGTCAATCAGGAATAAATGTGTGGTAGCACTATGATCTTTCATAGTTTAAACATAGTTAGTACTGACACCAAAACTGAAACAGAAAAAGCTTTAATTTGCTCTGTCCTCTCTCTCCTCTCTCATCATGTGCTCTGTTTCTGTCAGGATTCTGTTACTCTGCTCTCTCCTACCTTGAACTTAACTTAACAAGGTGTGTTGTTTGTTTTTCTAAGACCGTGTAATAATATAATAAATAAAATGCAAACAGTTGTCTCCATCAATCTGAAAAACAATGCAAAGAAACTTTTTTCTTTGAGTGTTCATGGTTTTATGTAGAACCATTTTCTAAAGAAATCTTAAAGAGCCTTCTTTTTAAGTGTGAATGGGGGTTTTAAAAGACCACATTACATTTGTCTTGCATTTTATTTTTTCCCTTGAGCTCAGCTTGTAACGTTCATGTAGTTTTCTGTAACAAAAGTCATAATTCATTTTTACCTGACCTGATCCTATGTCTTTTTATACATTAGGATTAAACAGGCTGTTTTTGTTTTTGCGCCTTTAAGACTGAAGTCTGTAAATTAGCTGGCTGCCCTGTATTGTGCCTCATACAAAAAGCCATGTGGGCTGAAAAACTCCTTACAACTTAAGTGTGAATGGGTAGGACTAACCTGCTGTAGGCTCAGTAAGTGTATTCAGTAAATGTGTTGGTTTTAGTGACATCACAAATCCAATGTATTTAAAATGTTTTTGCAGTTTAATTTCTATTTATG